AACACTTCAAAAGACTTCTAAATCGTCCGCCACCTACAACACGTCCAGCAATACCAACAACGGAAGCAGAACTACCAGTGAACACTGACCCCCCGACGAAATCAGAAGTCCTGAATGCAATCAAGATGCTAAAAGCTGGGAAAACACCGGGACCAGATGGAATCCCAGCAGAGGCTTTGAAAATAGACCCAGAGACAACAGCGGACTTGATGACACCACTGCTGGAGAAGGTGTGGAAAGAGGGCAAAGTACCCGAGGATTGGAAGAACGGATACTTATTCAAACTTCCAAAGAAAGGAGACTTAAGTCAATGTAAAAACTGGCGTGGAATTATGCTTCTGTCCATTCCAAGCAAGATACTAAGTCGCATCATCCTGGAGAGAATCAAACAAGCCCTAGATGAAAAACTTCGTCCGGAACAGGCTGGATTCAGGAGAAACAAATCATGTATTGATCAAATCGCCACTCTACGGATCATCATTGAACAAAGCTTGGAATGGCAGTCACCTCTCTATCTCAACTTCATCGACTTTGAAAAGGCCTTCGACAGCGTCGATCGAGAGGTCATTTGGAAACTACTTCGCTACTACGGGGTCCCATCGACAATTATACACCTCATCCAACAGTTATACGACAATGCTGCATGCCAAGTAATCCACAACGGGAAACTTACGGAAGCCTTCGAAGTGAGGACGGGAGTGAGGCAAGGCTGTCTACTATCACCAATGATCTTCCTGATTGCAATTGATTGGATAATGCGACAGACAACGGCAACCAACGAGGGAACAGGCATAAAATGGACTGACACAAAAGACTTGGAGGATCTGGATTTCGCCGATGATATATGTCTGATTTCCCATAAACTGGAAGATATGCAAGTGAAAAGTAACAAGTTGGCAGAAGAAGCATCAAAGATAGGACTTCACGTGAACATAGATAAAACAGAGATGATGAAGATTCCTAGCCAACATCAACAACAACAACAACAGACCACAATAAGCATAAATGGGAAGAACCTGAAAGAAACAACCTCCTTCACCTACCTGGGAAGCATCGTCTCAACTACAGGCGGAACTGACGAGGACATCAAAGCCAGAATCGGAAAAGCAAGACAAGCTTTCATTACTCTCAAATCTGTGTGGAGGTCAACAGCACTCAGCATCAAAAATAAGATCCGGATTTTCAACTCCAATGTGAAGTCAGTGCTACTATACGGATCAGAGACTTGGCGAGTCATAAAGAGCATCTCAAACAAACTTCAAACCTTCATTAACAACTGTCTCCGCTCAATACTCAAGATCAGATGGCCAGAAAAGATCAGCAACAGGGATCTCTGGGAGCGAACCAATCAGGAACCGATTGTGAAACAAATAGGCAGAAAGAAATGGAGATGGATTGGCCATACGCTGAGGAAACCATCAAGTGACATCACTAGACAAGCCCTCGAGTGGAACCCGAAAGGGAGGCGGCGAGTTGGTCGTCCAAGGGTGACTTGGAGGAGGTCATGCGAGGAGGAGATGAAAGCATGTGGACAGACCTGGAGCGAGGTGAAAAAGTTGTCAGAAAACCGAAGTCAATGGAGGTGCGCAGCTGAAGCCCTATGTTCCTCTAGGAACTAAAGGATACAATAATAATAATATATTAGTTCACAGACTATACTAATTTTTCGAACACTTCAACTCAAAGGTGGAGACAATACGACTCACTTATGAACTGGATAGTTAGGAAGGGGAACTGTCAATGTTAGATTGCGGCGTAAAAAGTAAAGAAGATGGGAAGTTAAACACTAGTATTTAAAGGAAACCGACACATTCAAACAGAAAATTCCATACCTGTACCACAAATACTGTTTGGAATAAAGCTGTTATTATTATTATTAATTATTAGATATTTGGACTTCTGATCATGCCATTCTATGCACGTAAAAATAGGATTAGTGAAATGTTTAAGAAATAGGGCACAAACACTAAGTAGTACCGAGGAAAATCTAAGACATGAAGTGGGGCATATAAGGGAAGCTTTGAAACTTAATAATTACCCTGATAAATTAGTCAGAAAGTATGCAGGAAAATGTAAAAATGAAATAAATGATGACATCCATGTCAAACATGCGCAATATAATGACAACACCAACAATAAGGAATCTAAATCATCAGTGGTAATTCCATACAAGGAAGAAACCTCGAAAGCCTTACGCAGAATACCTTACAAGGTAGGAACAAAAGTGGCTGGCATTCAAACCAACCACAAACTCAATTAGAAACAAGCTTTGTCGTTTAAAGGATCCTGTGAAGCGTTTAAAACGAAACAATTTAGTTTATCTAATACCCTGCCTGCAATGATTGTCAGATCAAGTACATAGGTTAAACCAGTAGAACAGGGGCAGTCAGACTAGCCGAACATAAAAACCTAGCTAAATCTAGATTAGTTGATCCAAATAAGATAAGAAATCTAGAAAATAGTTCAGCTATAGCACTACATGCAGTTACACACAATCATACAATGGGGTGGATGGGATAGGATGACAGTTCTAAAATCTAATGTCACAGCTGGGTGGTGGGAGAGATTGATAACAGAAGCTTTGTTTATCGAATTAATTGCAAATACATGTAATAGGAATGATTCGACACCTGTGCCAGACACTAAGTGGCATCACTGAGGAAGCCCAAGGGGAAGAAAATTGGAACTCTCTGAAGGCAGGTGATATTCAAGGAAACGTGTACAACTTTTCTAGGAAGAAGGAAGAGATACGACAAGAAATGGCTCTCAACGGACACCCACCTGGAAGCTTATAGAAGAGAGGATGATAGTGAAAGAGAAGATGACTCAATGTAAAGATGGGCAATAGAAGGAGAAGTTGAGTTCAATGTACATTGCATTGAATAAAGAGGCGAACGGATAAGAGTGCTAGGAAAGACAAAAGACAGTTCTACAACACACTGGCCGGCAAATGAAGCAGAACAGGTAGGCCGCAAGTGAAAAGGACCTCAGGCCATTATATCAGATAACTAGGCTTCTTGCTATCCTGGAAGACATCGTCCCAGATAATGAAACTAATAAAAGATGCTCAAGCGAACCTGATCACTGCAAAGGACCCTTGAATCGACCATCACCTGCAACTCGCCCAGATATATCACCATCACCAACTACAACAACAGCACGCACTGAGCTGCCTGTCTCTTGACACCAATCCTCCAACGAAAGCAGGAATCCTGAATGCGATCAAGCTACTGAACACCGGCTTGGAAGGAAGCAGGACCTGGTGGAATTCTCCCCACCCCGAAGCACTGAAAAAGAGCCCAGAAACTGAGGCAAATGCGCCCACGCTATCATTGCAAGACGTTTGGAAGGAAGAAAGCTAAGGTGTCCACCGATGAAAGAAATTCTGGATACCTCGTCAAGCTGCCAAAGAAGGGCAACCAACACCTAACTCGGCAAAAACTGACTGACGTGGAATAATGCTCTTGTCGACCCCAAGTAATTTACTAAGTCGTGTCACCCTGGAGAGAATAGAGGATGCATGGGATACAAAACTCCGCAAGCTAGAACAAGCTGGATTCAAGAAATGAGAATCATGTACTGATCAAATTGCAATTCTACTCATCATCATCAAACAAAGCATTGAATGGCAGTCAAACATATACCTTAACTTCATCGACTTCGAAAAGGCCTCCGACAGGCAGCGTTGGTCGAATTTTGAAACTGCTTTTACACTATGGCGTGCAATGCACAAGTCTTTAACAACCTAAATCAGCAGCTGGCTGTATGACAATGCCACGTGTCGTTGAGGTGACCCGCAAAGGAAAACTCAACGAGGAGTTCGAAGTGAATACAGAAGCAGGATAGGGCTGGTAATCTATTATCCCTGATGATATTCTGAATTGTGGTGGACTGGATTGTGCGGAAGACTGTGCACAGGGAGTGAGGAGACAGGAATACGCTGGACCACCGATAAGAAGACTCTAGAAGATCTGGATTTCACGTGTGCAGATGATATATGCCTAGCGTCACACGAACTTGAAGAAGTGTAGGCGAAAAATAATAGACTGGCTGGAGAGGCAGGACTCCAGGTGAACATATAGAAGACATGGGTTATGAAGATAACCATTGAACCGCAACAACAACACTAATCAGCACCAATCACCATCAACGGAAGAGATTTGACAGACGTTACTTCCTTCATTTATCTAGGAAGCATAGCTTCAACTACAAGTGGAATGGATGAAGATGTCAAAGCCACTTAGAATCGGAAAGGCAAGATACTCCTTCATCAACCTGAAACCAATTTGTAAATCTTCTGCATTCAACATAAGTTGCAAGGTCCGGATTTTTAACACCAACGCGAATTCCGTCCTTCTATACGGTTTAGAAATTTGACCAGCGTGTCACGAAAAGGTCTGCCAACAGGTTGCAGACTTTTATCAACAGCCGCCTTCAATGGCTCCATACTGAAGATCAAACGGCTGGCCACAAGAAATTCTGCCAACAAACCAACCAAGAACCAATTCCTCAATAGATATGCAGAAGTATATGAAGTTCGATTGTGTATGCTCTGGAAAGACAGTTGGGCAACATAGCGTGTCAGGCCATTGATCAAGCGGAACCCGAATGAAGAACGAAGAGTGGGTCGCCCAAGGGTGACATGGAGGAGACCGTGCGAAGAGGTTATGGGCTATAGAGGAGTCTGCTGAAAAGGAAATGAGAAAGTAGAACAAAGTGGAGACGTGTTGTTGAAGCCCTATGTTCCACTCGGAACCTAAGTGAACAATAATTATAATAATAGCATTAGCTGGATTTGGGAAGGTGAAGTTGTTTCGGGAAATAACTCACATACCGGAGTCCGATAAGAAATCGAAAAATATTAAGTATTGGTTGACTGATGAACAAACAGAATAACCTAACTGTGGTAAAACTCTCTTTGAACACTGCTCTTAAGCTTTGTTCTAGTTTCTAAACTTACACACGCATATTTAGAAAAGAGGGTATTGACTAAAACTTACCTAACGAACTTTTGGATAATGCGAACCAAAAGACAAGACAAATCACCAGTGCACATGTTGATGATAAATTATAAAGAAACCATATCGGTTGGTAGAATCTTGGCTCGCTATTGACATCTGTAAGTAATATTGAAAAAGAAAAAAACAAAATATTATTTGTTTACAAAATTATACACGTTTGTTTACTCTTGGGAAATATGAATAAGTCTGTACATATTAGTTGTACAGTCATGAAAATAAAATCACATTTTTTATCGTTAGAGAAAACAGAGATAACGGATCAGTGAAAACCCAGAAACACTGAACAGCCGTTTCTACCGGGTTTGAGACTCATCAGCAATCAGCACTCGTGACTTCATTCATGTCTTGAAGTTATAGTGAGAATTAGTGTCCAGTGAGTTCCATTATACCAGAGTTATTGAAGACATTACCTGATGACAGAGTTATGTATCGCGAATTCATAACAGTTAGAATGTCCGGGTCACTAAATTATAGCCTATTAAGTGATTTGTCAGTGGGCTGGCCTCGTAATCTGAAGGTCATGGATTAATTAACAGATTTGTACGTCTGTACGTCAAACAAAGCTGAAAAAGCTGTCTAGGGCTCCCTAGCTTTAAATGACTCTCAAATAGATTTTGAAGCATGAATAAATCTACATTTTATATTATCATTCATTTGCTATCGTGACTTGGAACAACAGAAATGAAGAAGTGCTTCGATGAGATTGTAAGATTTCAACATTAGTTGTGAGTAGACTTTCTAGAAACTGTCTCTTTTTAGAGTTAATATCTGACATGAAGACATTGAACTAGCAAAACATTAGAAACCAGATAAGTCCTCACAAAAACTTCTCATCTACTTCACAAACTTTGGAAACTTTTTCCTCTTTTTTGGTGAAAGGTGGTATGACTTTTCAGTGAAGTATATATGACGATATCCGTTGATCGAAAAATTCTATCAAAAGCAATGATTAAGTAAATTCAAGTATTTTTTATAGGGATTTGGTTGATTGGTTACAGGATTTCATCATGAGCTGAAATCAGTTAGAGAACCATTGGAAAACCTGGGAGTACTGGACAGCTGTTTCGTTTCATGGGCCATTGGATCGGATCCCAGTGGCTTAATGGTATACGAGCTCACCTTGTAACCAGAAGGTCCTGGGTTCGAATCCCGGTGGGTGCGTACTGCTGGAGAGTCCCAAACTAGAACGAAACAGCTGTCCAGTACTCCCAGGTTTTCTAATGGTTCTCTAACTGATGTCAGCTCATGATGAAATCCTGTAACCAATTAAGTAAATTATTTGTTACTTAACAAGAATTAGCTAGCCAGAAATTGTGTGTTCTGAACTGGGTCCGCCCTCTGAGCTGAATCGAATGGGTTACACTACTGATAAGCTCGGCCCCAAAAGAACGAAACGGTTGTTTAGATCACCTTGATCTGGCTAGTAAGTACTTCTGATTGATATAGTTGGTAGGCTACTACTCATCTTAATCAATCAGTAGTAGTTTATAGTTAAAAGTAAAAAGCATTGAAAGCAACACATCCTGGGTTCCAGTTTCACTGAGGTATTCAATACTCAATAAGTATTGGAGTAGAACGAATACCATAACGTAGATTTCATTATATCTTATTTAGTTTAAACACTGATTACAATTCTTACATATTAAGGTGAATGATTAAACAACCTGTAACTGGAATACTTTTTTCCACCTAAGTAATGTCTTTCAAAATTAGAATTCATTATACCATTCAGACAGGAAATCTCTGAATTAATCTACCATTCATTAGATACAGTGTATAGAAACCAACCTAAACGTGACTTATCGCTTATTTATTTATTCAACATATTAGGGTAAAAAAATTAATAAACGAGAAGTTAACACGCAGGACTGTATTTATCATTGTATTCGACAGATCGATTAGAGTTTTAGCAGTATAAAAATCTTCATGTATATATTCTGGTAATAAATCAAAAAAGCCTACGTGTGGCACACAACTGGGGGAAAGAAATAAAGCAAGTTTTGAAACTTATAGCGAAAAAGGGTTTAAATATGTCGCCTTTCATGAGCTGAAATCAGTGTGTGTGTGTGTGTGTGTGTGTGTGTGTGTGTGGACGAGTACTAAATTTAAGAATTTCACTTCCAGCGGTATTTTGTAAAACACTACTGAGACTTTTATGCAGCTCGTTTCACATCATCAGTTACCAAGTAGTATTCTCTCCTCCCATGTGATCCATGACAGTATGATGGTAAGTATTCATGTCTACCACGTAGAAGGTCCGGATTCAACTCACAGTTGGGGGGGGGCTGGTCAGTGCACCAAAGATTCAATGATAGAAGGCTAATGAACTACGTGAGAGGTCCGGATTCGACTACCGGACGATGCATTTCTAAACTTTACAGAATTTACAATTGGGTATTAGTCTAGTAACTTCGTCCCATAATACAACATCACATCTACTAGAACTTCATAGCTTGAAACCCTATGCCGCACTCGGAATGTAAAGGAACAGAAGGAATTCGCTCTTTCTCTCTCTCTCTCTCTCTGCAATCTTATTAAGTTTTATTCGAATGATAAGATAAATTAGGAAAAAGACTTAAGTGTATATTTCTTAAATCAATATCTCATCTAGTTCCGGTTGTATCATCTGTTCTATAAGGTTGTGTTCACAAAATGTTGAATACGATTTCAACTTGTTGGATGATCAAAAATATCTCGTAACCCCTTGTCAACTTTTCAATTGTTGTTTACTTTCTAAATAACATGAAATCCTATTCTATGTTATAACCCAATTTTTGTTCGCTTAATGAATTCTAACATCTATTCGGAAATTGTTTTGTACCATATGATATTTCCTGCCATGTATTCAGAAGCTTTCCCTTCCTTACAACTGTTTTTCTACTGTAACTTAGTTTCAGAAGAATAAAAATTGGAGCTTCTGTTTACCTATCAACTTTCTTCATTTTTTCTGAAAATTTTACCATCATATACGCTTTTTAGTAATTCATGATGTTTTTAACTTACAATTCGAAAGTTATGTTTGTGTGGTGCAGATTGACTAGCATGATTTTTTATTCCTTTCTAAACTTAATCACCATAGACGTACACTTCAGTGAGAGGTTAAGTGATACCAGTAAAACATAAAAGTTGTCTACTATATTCTACTCATAATTAGATATAAGTAGTATGCTCACTGACGTCTTCAGAAAAGTAGTGTTAACTCGTGCGTCAGTGAAAAAGTCAATGGAGAAGAGATGTGAAAAGATAACAATAAGAAACAGACAATGAAGATATAACGATTATTTTCCGATCGTTAAAGAAAGGTGTATGAGTACGCTTCAGAAGTACTGTAAAGCTGTCACGGACCTGGTCCACGTATAAGAGCAGAGGATGAAGCTAGTTGTCCTGAAAACCGTTTTAAGAGGCCCCGAAAAGACTGCCGACTGTAGGTTATGTGAAACTGGTACAGAGACCTCGTTAGAGGTCGTCAAGAAGCTAGTTTCAGATTATAACAGCCGTCTAGGCAAGTAGGAGGTTTTGCAGAAACTCGGTAGCCTGTGGCTTGGCGTGAGCAGAGATCTACTGGTTTTGACAATACCACTGAAAATCTCTTGATACGTGAGTTAAAAACCCCACAAAAGGATTTAAAACCGCAGCTACTACATTTCCACTTTTTGAAATTAGTCCCTCCTACAATCACCTATTTTCTGCAGTTATTAAATTCACCTCATACTATGGGCGTGAACACATAGGTGGAAAACATAGGATAGTCACAACAGCAACCAACGAATTTCAAGAAGCCAGCCGGATAGAATGACGGACAGAAGAACTGAAGAAGAAGGTATCAGCACCTTGAACAATAATTTACTGGACTAAACATTCAATATCACTATGATTTCTACATATGCCTAATTTTCACTTGGTATCAAGTATTTAAGAAAATATTATGTTAAATATTGATCAATACTAATCTAAATAATTTTGCAGCCAATTTTTATGACACTTTTCTAATGCATGACAAATGAGTCTGAAGGTCTTAACCTTCTCCTAAGTACCCTTTATACATTTAAAGTATATCAATGAAAAATATTATTGAAATACGACTGTTTCCTTGGAGCCACACTAATGATTTTTTGACTCCTTTGCGTTTCGATTGGAACAGTGAGCTTCAGACATTGAGCACTGAAGTTTCAGCATAGATGGTGCTTTTCTATGGTTTGGGATTGTTAGCCACACCCCCAGGTTCCACTCTTTTCCAGGCTAACTATGGACTAAACGAAGTTTATAAGTGGAACGACGATAGGAATCCAAGCTGGCCCTCCCATATATTTGGCGAGCATCCTGTCATTGGACCACCATCGCACCACATTAAAGACCAATATCTTTAAAATATCAGTGAAACCTCTTCTATTGTCAAAGCCAGTTTATCTTTCACTTCGACTTAGACATACTACTCTGTTTTAAGATGCTGGTAAATCTTTTGGACAATACAACCATTTAAATGATAATCTATGTTAATAGTAGGGGTAGTTTTTGATGTGGTTTTGTTCTCTGAGCTGGATGGTTAGTTTGCGAAGCTTTCATCACCTTACTGGGTGACATCTTCAGCGCATACTTCAATTTGAAGTGAGCTTTTAGATTTCTCCACGAGTTTATTAATCATCTCTCCTGGTGACCTTGGACGTGATTGGTTGTTTGTGTGTTTTCACACCTTTAGGTTACTTGTTATGGAATACCTAGAAGGTGTGAAAACACACACAAACAACCAATCACGTCCAAGGTCACCAGGAGAGATGATTAATAAACTCGTGGAGAAATCTAAAAGCTCACTTCAAATTGAAGTATGCGCTGAAGATGTCACCCAGTAAGGTGATGAAAGCTTCGCAAACTAACCATCCAGCTCAGAGAACAAAACCACATCAAAATCATCCACCTGAGCTACAAATCTTCTCTATAGTAGGGGTAGTTATTGTGTATGACTCATCTCCATTAAAATATTGGCTCCAAATGTGGACGCGCCCACGATATATGATAGTTGATATATATTTTTTCATTGGAATGACAAGACATTTGCTCCTTTCTCCCTACGACGGATGCCTTTTCCCTTGATGTGAAGT